CGGCAGCACTGGGGAGGGGCCGGCGGGAAGAGCTGACTCTAGGCAGAAAAGCAGGAGGCAGTGGGGCTTCCAGACCCAGCGGACGTGCCCACCCAGCGGACGAGCCGAGTGAAATGAGGCCGTTGGAGCCTGGCAGGGCGGAGGCCAAGGCAGGAAACTTGCAGCGAGAACAGTGGTCTGTGCCGCCCCTTCGCGCCGAGCGCGTCCACCTGCTGCGGGCACGCGAGAAGGCGCTACCCGACCTGGCAGCGAGCCCGGGGTACGCCTGGGGGAGAGGCAGGCCCCTAAGACCTTCTGAGCTCCCAACACCTCCGAAATTACACCTTAGAGAAGTCTCCGGAGACGCAGCGGGGAGACAGATGGTGCCGAGCGCGGCCGGAGACAAAGCAGCCTGGAGGAGCGCAGGTGCTAATCGTGGCGACCGAGTGTCCGGTCCAAAGACGCGAGCAGCCCGCACCCCCGCCCTTGGGGGCGCAGCTGCCACACCCGGCAGGCAGGGAGGGCCTGCCCCGGCCAGCAGGCGGGCCCCTGCGCCCTCGGAACAGTCGGACTGCCGGGGCTCGCTCCACCTGGAGCCACGGAGGTGGACACGGGCCCTGAGGGGCCCCGGCAGCAAGGCCGGCCACTCGGCAGGCGCCAAAGGGGCCAGGCCCAGCGCACTCCACGCTGGCCAGCGAGGGGCAGAGACGCCCCACCCGCAGGCGGGCGCCAGAGGCCGCCGTCTGGCCTTCCGAATGGACTCAGGTGACCTGTGTGGACAGGGCGCGGCAAGCCGGGGCTGCTGTCTCTCCACCTTGCCCGCTGCGAACACGACGCGCTGGGGAGCGCCGGCTCCGCACCCCGAGACTGCGCCCCAGCTCCCCCAGGCAGCCTAGGCAGCGGCCACCCCACCGCCAGCGCCACCTAACCCCAGGTCGGCAGAAGGTCGTCGGCGCCCCCAGCAGGTCCCCGAGGGGGCGGCCAGGGTCAGCCGCCTGAGGACCGCAGCGGAGCCAGTGGCCAGTCGGGCCCTCAGCGTGAGGCCGGGGG